CAGATGTAACACATCCCCAGATGTGTTCGAGATGTCCCATCCCTGGATGTGCTTGAGGTGTCCCATCCCTGGATGGTTCAAGATGTCCCATCCCTGGATGTGTTCGAGATGTCCCATCCCTGGATGTGCTTGAGATATCCCATCCCTGGATGTGCTTGAGATATCCCATCCCTGGATGTGTTTGAGATGTCACATCCCCAGATGTGTTTGAGATGTCCCATCCCTGGATGTGCTTGAGGTGTCCCATCCCTGGATGGTTCGAGATGTCCCATCCTTGGATGTGTTTGAGATATCCCATCCCTGGATGGTCCAAGATGTCCCATCCCATCCTTGGATGTGTTTGAGGTGTCCCATCCTTGGATGTGCTTGAGGTGTCCCATCCCTGGATGGTTCAAGATGTCCCATCCTTGGATGTGTTTGAGATATCCCATCCCCAGATGGTTCGAGATGTCCCATCCCCGGACGTGTTTGGGATGCCCCACCCCTGGATGTGTTCGAGACTTCCCATCCTTGGATATGTTCAGGATATCCCATCCCCAGATGTGTTCGGGACATCCCATTCCTGGAAGTGCCCAAGGCGATCCCCTGGAATTGTTTGGGATGTCCCATCCCCTGGATGTGTTCAAGACATCCCATCCTTGGATGTGTTCAGGATGTCCCATCCCTGGATGGTTTGAGGTGTCCCATCCCTGGCTGTGTTTGGGATGTCCCATCCCTGGATGTGTTCAGGATATCCCATCCCTGGCTGTGTTCAACACATCCCATCCCTGGAAGTGTTCAAGACATCCCCTCCCTGGATGTGTTCAGGACATCCCCTCCCTGGAAGTGCCCAAGCCCAGGTTGGATGGGATTTTGAGCAACCCCAGCTCGTGGAAGGTGTCCCTGCCCGTGGCAGGGGGTGGAAGAAGATCATCTTCAAGGTCCCAACCCATTCCATGATCCCACCCTGGCACCACAGCCCAGCAAGAAGCTTTTCCATACTGCAAACCCCTGGGATGGTTTGGGTGGGAAGGGACCTTAAAGCCCCCCCAGTGCCACCCCTGCCACCAGCCCAGGCTGCTCCAAGTTCATCCAGCCCGGCCTCGGACACTGCCAGGGATGGGATATCCAGGGTTGATCCGAGCTCAGGGGCCCTTTGGCAACACAGGGCAGAAAATCCAAATAAAGACTAAAAAATAATATTGAAGGGATAAGAACAACAAGTAAAAGGGGGAAATAAAAATAAAGTATCGACAGGAAAGAAGGGAAATAAAATGGAAAGGAAAATGATAATCGAAAGTGTTAAAAGTTGAGATTAATGAGAATAAATAGGAATTTAAAATGAGTAAATTAAAATTAAAAATAATAAACACGTTTAAAATAAAATTAA